GCATCTGAATACGCTTTGCACGCACTCCGGAAAATCAGGATGGCAATCTTCGCCTTCCTCGGCCCGGATCTAGGCACAAGAATAGATCGAAACTTGTCGGAATGATTTTATTAAATGGACTACACTTTGCAATGGAGATGTTGTATGTGTGAGGACTTTGCGATTTGTCTATAGTTTCATACGTAAAAGTTCGCGAGAAACACGATGATGCCACTGGATTTCTCTGAAATCAACTCTCGCGAACTTCTACATCAAAATCAACAGTCAAATCGCAAATTCCTCATACATGCAACATCTCCATTAAGAACTATGAATTCCGGCCCGCGGTTTAAAAACAATGTTTGTGCCATTAGTTTCCCTAGGCACATAAGTGTTTTTTCAGAAGAGTTAGAATTTATAGCTCCCCATTGCAAACTGCAGTCCGAGTCCCATTGGACTTTTGTAAAATGTCAGAGAAGAGAAAAGTTCTTTCTAAAGAAGAATATCTTAAAAAGGGTGTCTACCGTCATTGAAAATCGTTGAAAATTAGTAGATTCTAAAGAAAATTGGTGATGGATCAGGTAATACCGGTTGATTCAAGCTCTTCTCAACTACAAGCAGTTCAGCGTTTGTAAAAATGAAACATTGTCTTCAATTCATTGAATATCGAGGGCTAAGAAAGAATATCTCCTATCTAATAATTTAGGCAAAAAAGGGTGAGCAGCTTTGCCACGTTCAACAGTGATGTAGTACGCTAGCTGATGTTATTAGTTTTTGTCCAATTTTGTATAGGAGCGCTGCAATAACACTGTAATGCTAAAATGCTAATGCACTAAAAAAATAGCAAATCTAACTTCAAAATTACACAAATGACCGAGTTTTAGCTTCGTCCTACAAAATCGTCAGTTTTCAGATGGGCGGTATTTTTCCTTGACCAGCAATATGTCGGTTGGTTAAATCATACAATGGCAAATTTGCACGCACATTTTTTATTTCTTCATCTGAAAGTGCCTAAAGAGCTGATTTTGCAGTATTTTTTCGTAATTTTTTCCGGCCGCGGGATATAGTATAAAAATAGATTTAAAAGTGAGAAAATGCGCCGCCTAGTGACGTCATCTGGCGACATTTCCCATTTAAACGCATGTATTTTAGCAGATTAGATAATTTTGTCATAGCACGCCCAATAATTGTTCAATTTATGAACCAGGGGTATCCTCTTGTTCAGCTCACTTGGTTGCGTCCATTCAAACACGGAATTCATTAAATTTCAGACACCTGCTAATTCTTTATTGCCAATATTCTCAGGCAGAAACTAAGAAATTCCATTTAAAATATTAGGGATAATCTGAAATGAAATTCAGGAGACACCCTGTTAAAGGTGGAAATAAATCAGCGCAACAGAAAACTTTTTATCGCAACGTTACTTACATTTCCTGAGATCACGGTGAGCATCAAAACAACTGCATACATATAGACCGACAATTTCATCTTGCACATGATGTTGATTTTCGACCGAGAAGAATAGACGTCTCACTTCCATGATAGGCAGTCGCGCTACGTCTCATACTGGCATCAGGGATCGAATGAGGAGTTAAAATCCACTCCATAATTGAAATTTCCACCTCGTCAGAAAACGATTCGAATAGTGTTCATCTCAACCGCAACACGAGCTGCGAAGCGATTTGCGGCGTGATCGAACTGGCTGCGTTGTGTCGCATCGATTCAACCAAAATTCTCGGCAGTTCTTATCCAAGCCAAAATAAAGCGATAGCTCCTACGCACAATGGACCACTAGACAAGGTACGAATTTCAGCATTCTGATACATTCTTCTTAACCATTTCACGTAGAACACGATGCGCACAACGAATTTGACCAAAATCAACTCCTTACGAAGATATTCAATCACCTTTGATGCGTGAATTCAAACCATCCGCTCATGAAAACTCAATGCTCTACGTGATTCGCATCGCGCGCTGAACGTTTATCATGACAGTCTCTGCAATATAAAAATCTGGCAACCTCTATCTTGATGCTTTGGCTCAGCTATAGCACATTGCTAATAGTTTGAACAACACATGGTGGGAAATGAACATTGCTCGATTGAGAAGCTTGCTGAAACCGTTGTAGTGCGCATTTGACCCACGTAGAGCTTTGAGTTTCTTGTGAGCGAGCAGTTCTAATTCTTCGTAACCAATGTAAAATAAAAACGTTAATATCTTCTTGAGGAGTTGGTTTCAGTAATTACCGTTGTGCGAATCGTGTTCTACGTGAAATTCTGGTTAGGAAACATGTATCAGATTGCCTAAATTCGTACTTTGTCTAGTGGTCCATTCTGAAAAACCGTTCGCAACTGAGCAAATGTCAAATTTCGGGGGAGTGAAAGCAGGATTTCGCTGCAAAATACAAATGCATTCGACTCGCTTCCAATCTTTGTAATCTATCAGTAACTTCTGCACTCAGTGCGGGTTCTGTTACATACATATATCGTCTCGGCTATCTGCGGTATAAAGCGATCCCATAGACACGTCGGGCGCGAGTGACGTCATAATTGTGACGTCGAATCACATTCTCATTTACAATCGGCCGCGAAAGTTACGAGCGCCTTGGCTGATCGATGCGCATGCGCGACCGATCGGCAAGAGTGCAGAGGTGCATCCTCACGCCCGGTACCATGCAAAACCGCGCAAGGCTCTACTGGGCACCTATACAGAGCCGTTGTTTTTGCATAGGACAGCGGGGGAGAGGGACATGTGTTTTCTCGACGTGCCGCGGCGAGTTTCCATCGGGTTTCCATGACCAGAATTAATTGTCGGGTGACCCCAGGTTCCGAGCACTCGCCCGTCATTAGAGACCTCGCCGGCCGGGGACAGTCTTTCTTGAGCCGCGCTTTCACAGGGCGATGGCGACGCTAAATTGGCCGCGCGGCGGAATCGTGCGATCGGGTGTAGTAATACACCACTAGATAAGTCATCAATGGAGATGTTGCATGTGTGAGGAATTTGCGATTTGATGTTGATTCTTGTGTGAAAGTGCGCGAGAAACACAATGGTGCCACTAGTTTTCTCTGATATCGACTCCCAAGCTCAAAAAAAGCTCTCCAGTTGAGGCCAAAATGGAGGAGGGGATATACCACGCTATCCTGAGGGTCCACCTCTACATCAAGACAAACTCTCCATGTAAAGATAGGGAGCAAATACATTAGCAGGGTTGCCGTGTTTTCAGTTTTAGAGTCCCCAAATAAAGTGGCAGTTGCTCCCTATCTTTGCATGGAGAGTTTGTTTGGATGTAGAGGTGGACTCTCAGGATAGCGTGGAATATCCCCTCCATTTTGGCCTCAACTTGAGAGCTTTTTTTTGAGTTTGGGAGTTTATTTCAGAGAAAATCAGTGGCACCATCGCGTTTCCCGTGAACTTTTACGTAAGAATCAACAGTCAAATCGCAAATTTCTCACACATGCAACATCTCCATTGAAGCATTCTGATATGATTCTGCTTCAATGGGCCGTAGCTAGTAGTAGTGATCGCGATACATAGCGATTTTATCGGTTGGTTATCGCGATCATATCGGTGGCAATATATCGAGATATCATCGCATTAAAATTGCGATTTATGGCGATCAAATCGCTACACATCGCAATTTTTGGTTCGATGGAAATCGCGATCAATTTTCGTCGATAAAATCGAGATTAAATTGCCATGTCATCGCGATTCTTATCTCGAAAATATCGCGATAAATTGCCGGACGATAAAATCGCGATTTTATCCGGATAAGATTGAGGATAATTGCTCAGATGTTGATGATCCTAGCGATCCTATCGCCGATAAAGGTGCAATATTTCGCGATTTTTCCGTTGAAAAATGCTACTTGGGTGCCTGTTGCAGAATTCAACTTTTTAAATCTTCCCGATTTTTTGTAAGGAGAACATTTCGCACCGCCCTGCGCAGCATCAAATTACCACAGATTTGTGGATGCAACTGTTTGTGCTTTACGCTTGTCCTAATTGCATACCCAAAATATTGAAGGAGCTTTAGTTTCTTTTCCGATGTTGCATGTTAGTGCGAAGCAACCGCCGCGACGCCTTGCTGAATTGGTAGGGACTTTCGACTGCATTTTGCAATTTGGAATTTTAAATTCTTGCTCATCTGAAAAAAACACTTATGTGCATAGGGAAACTAATGGCACATACGTTGTTTTTAAACCGGGCCAGAATTTATAGTTCCAAATTGCAAAATGCAGTCCTATTGATGCAACTATTTGGGCTTGAAGGCTGTCCGGATTGCATGGACTAAATATTGAAGGCGCCCTAGCGCCTCTCATTCGAAGTGAAAGTTACGCGAGCGACTCTCTAACATTAAACTAGGAATCCTCAATGCTTGCAAGGAAGCTATAGACAAAGAAGACAAGAGGAAAATGGAGGGATCCTATTGGTTGAAACGGATAGTTGCTGAAGATTATGGGGCCACAATTATAAGATCTTCCGTGGGTTTCGGTCCGTTAGTCTATTACTTGCTTCCTTTGTCCATTACAACCACACGCCTCCACTAGTAGGATTGCTCCATTTTCCATTCATCCTCTTTGCCTATCAATCTCAATAATCAGTCTGCAGGCGGACAACCAGTCGATTATTGGGCCCGATGAATAACGCTTCCACCTTCGGTCGCCCTAACGGCACAGCCAACCACCTGCATGATTTCATTTAGACTGCATTTAGGGACTACAATTTCTGTCGTAGTTTAGAAACAACGTGTGTAACATTGTTTTCTCTATGCAGATGAGAGTTTTTACCGATGAGCCAGAAATTTTTTTTCCAAATCGTGAAGTGTAGTCCATTTGGACCGAGTTTATGAAAACGCACCAAGTCGCATCAAATATGAATTCGGAGTTTTCACCTAAAACGCTTCTATGTTTAACTCTGTCTGTTTCGCCTTTGTCCTGTCTTGTCTTACGGACAAACACAAAACATCAACAGTCAGGCTACAATTTGTTGCAAGAGACATGGTCGACACGAATCGCTAAGTCAATGGCAACAGGCAGCCTTGATGCTTTCTTCCGCCTGACCAAATCAGAAGTTGAGGCGATGAGATTGCCAAGCGCGTTCCATTGGCAGGGTGAGTCTAGCGACTTAGAATAATTGGACTGTATTTTAGTATGAGGAAGTAAAATTTCTAGCTCATGCATACGTGCATGCACCTATCTGCACAAAGACCAGCGAATAATCAATTATACTGTATTTTCTCTGGTTTCAGGTAAGAGTTTTATCATTCAAAGACCGTTTTTAAGCCTGCTCTGGTAAGTTTACCTCTGCATGAGTACAGTTAATGTATGATGTTTGAAGTGTGATGTATAATGTACGGCTCGACACTACGTCTACCATGCTAGGCAAGAACGCCGGAAATCCATTAAGATTTTCCCTCGTTTTGTGGAACTTAACACTTTATAAGATAAAAACTGTTTTACCCATGCACCTCAAATTTTCAGGTTAAGTTTTTGATGATTTGCGAAAGAATTCTGTAGAAACATTGTCCCAAGGTACACAAGTTTTTTCCTATGATACATTGTTTCCAAAAAATGTAAATTGGCGTTTACGGCACTTTTGCGTTGCACGGCAGACGTAGTGTGTATCAAGGAACTAGAATCCACGTCGAATGAGTTTACGCATTCTTAGATTCCAACAACAGATCGAAGACATCAGTTTAACATTGCCCGGATATGTACGTTGTTTTCAAACTGATCTCTTTCCTACTGACGGAAGAGGAAACGTACGTTTCAGAATGCTTAAATTCGTTCTTTGTCCAGCGGTCAATTGAATTATTGTAATTACCAAATCCCAGCACGCAGGGGTGTTTAACCTTTTGGGACTAAAAAAATTCCAAAATTTTAAACCAAATCATTGTCATAGCGATTACATGAAGTAATTAACAGAGTAAAAAAAGTTCGAAATTTCATTCTTCCCTCATAACTCAATGTTAAAGATATCGTTCAACCCCAATTTTTATAATTAAGGTTATATTTTTTTTAAAATTTTTGACACGGAAGTATTTGCTGCTAGTTACCCTCAAAAAACTAATTAACTAAGTATCGAACCAATTTTTTCTCCACAATGTGTCTTTACTGGAAAAAAAAGTCTCTTGAATCCAGCGTCCAGGCTTAAAAAAATTGACAAGACAAAATACTCTTGATTCAATCAGATTTTTACTTGAATCAATAGGAATTCCGCTTCAATGAAGAGCCTTAAGCTCTCGAATTAAGCTAAAATCTGATTGAGCCAAGAGCATTTTTTCATGTCATAGCTTTTGAAAGTCTGGTCTCAAGATCCAAGAGATTTTTTTTTCCAGTGAAGACACATTTTTGAGAAAAATTGGTTCGATACTTAGTTAATTAGTTTTTTGAGGGTAACTAGCCGCAAATACCTCCCTGTCAAAGATTTAAAAAAATAGTCTGGTTTCTAGATCCAAGAGACTTTTTTTTCCAGTGAAGTCTTTTCATCCAAGAGACTTTTTTCCAATTTTAATTTTTTTCCATCAAGTTTAGTCCAAGGGGAAGTTATGTATGTAAAGGCGATGATTTATTTACGTAACTGACGAGACACTTGTAAGAAAAATTGAACGAACAACTCCAGACGAGATAATGACGGATGTAAACAAGATGTCAATCAAGTATGAATCGAGGGAAAAATGAATATCAAAGGCTCCGACTTAATGAGTTTGTATTTACCTCTCGCCGATCGTCGGATCTGGTTGATTCATGCCCAGAGCGAGGGCTTTTTTCAAATTAATAACTGTATTCAGATTATTTCAGAATGCGGATCGTTAAATCTGTATCGATGTCGAATGACTTCGGTTGAGAAGATGATTGAGCATGTTAAAGATGGAGAATTCGTTTTTTCTCTCACCAAAGAGCGTAACTCAATTTCAATGTCGCCAAATTTCTCCCTGTAAATTGCATATTAACCAGGAAAATCTTGGGAATTTCTATTTGTAAATTTCACCGACTCTCTCACGGATTTCATGCAAAAATCAGAAAATTTTGGATGGAAATTGCACAGGTACATTTCAGGGGTGTGAGGAACAAGGCGTATAAGAGCAGTTTTTGAAAAAATTGAGATATTAATGATGAAATGAAACTAGTTTAAACGCATACTCTGTGAAAAATTTGCTCCCAAATTTCAATTTTTCAGCATCAAGAAGTCAGTTTGAACTGTCTTGCCGCCATAAGGATCCATGTGATTTCGGAACTTCAAACACACATTTCTTGAAGCAGCAAAAACTGCACTAATACTCCTTGTCCTCCGAGCCCCTCATTTTTAATTGTTTAAGTCAATTTGGCAACCTTGAAATGGAGTTACGTTTCTTCGTCTGCAGGCCGATTATTGAAATTGATAGACAAAGCAATAGACAAAGAAGACAAAAGGGATTTGGAGGGATCCTATTGGAGGAAGCGGGTGGTTGCAATGGACAAAGGTGGAAAGGAATAGACTAACTAACGGCAACCCACGAGAGACCCTTTAGTTAGTCCATCATTTACCCCCTCCGTCCATAGGAACCACCCATTTCAACCAATAGGATCGCTCCATACTCCCTATGTCTCCTTTGTCTATAGCTTTATCTATCAATTTCAATAATCAGGCCGCTGGGAGACGACGAGTTATCGATAGATCGGCTCGCAGTTCGTTTTGTGAAGCAAAGCTCTCCTCTCTCAGGTCCCCCTCCTCCGGTTCGGTAACCTTTATAAATGTTTCAGGACGTAAGTCCGTAAATAAGAACAATTTTCATCTCCGCTTTCCGGCATTCCCTTGAGGGAACTCGTTCAGATTTTTCCGGGAAAACTCGTTCGCGTTTTCCGGGTACGTGACGCACTCGGGTTTTTTTTCGTACGTTCCGAGAAAACCTTTTTTCAGCTTCTTCGAGGGTTTTTGTCACAGAAAACGCTAACATAAGGAGGGGGGAAGGGTAACAAGTTTGATGCTGGAAAATTAACGAGAGTGTCCAAGGTATGGAAGTTCAGAAATGAACCGAGTGTAGCAAAAAGGAATCAAGCCTCACCAGCTGTTGCAAAATTTAACTGGGCAATTTAATTTTTTACAAGAGAATGTTTGTGCAGATTCCTTCGAAAATGTTAAGGAATTTGCTCCGCACCAGGTAGAAAATTCACTAAAAGTTGCACAAAAACCCGTACCAACGTTTTCATGTAAAAAATTAAATTGCACAATTAAAGTTGGCAGTAGCTGATGTGACTTTGGCTCCTATCTGCTAAACGCGATTCAAATTCTGAACTGAATAGTCTCCGCAAATTGTGTTCACTTTGAATAATAAAGGTTGGGAAATGAACAATGTTTAATTGAGCAGCCTGCCAAAACCGTTGTAGTGCGCGCTTTGACTCACGTAGAGTATTAAGTTTTATGTGACCGGGCAATTCGAATTTCCCGTCGCCACTGTAAAATTAAAACTTTAATATCTTACAAAGGAGTTGATTACAGTCATTTTTGATTCAAAAATCATGTTTTTCGTAAAATTCTGCTTAGGACACATGTATCAGAATGCTTAAATTCGTACCTTGTCTAGTGGTCCATTCAGCAAGTCAGTTCACTCGATCTAAGGCTCGTCTTCAGCGGGCTGATATGCTGAAAATTGGATCGCGTTCAGCAGAAAGGAACCAAGTCACATGAGCTATTGCCAAATTAAATTGGGCAATTAGTTTTTTACAAGAGAAAATTTGTGCGGATTCATTTGAAAATTTTACGGCATTTGCTTTTAAATGTGCAGAAACTTCTCTGAAATTTGCAAGGAAATCGGAATACCTGAACAGGATAAACCTCTATATTTGCCTCAGCTAAAGGATCTTAGATTTTTCCTGTGTACGATAAGTATCTTGATACTGTGCAACACCTCTGTTGTGAAATAGTAGCTTCAGGCGCTGCCGCACGGCGGGCGGGCGTGCTGCCAGCGCGAGAGGCTCACTGGCGCCTACAAACCTAAGTGGATACCTCACGCATTGCACAATGCTTGAAGTATCCACTTAGGTTTGTAGGCGCCAATGAGCCTCTCGCGCTGGCAGCACGCCGCTCCGACCTGTTAGGCTTTAATGTTTATACTCGCACAGTCAGCGTTTTTTAACTCATGATTTTGAAATGTTTGCACACTCTGCATTGATTATTCTGATTTAAATTGATGGGAAAATAATATTATCAATTTATCAAAGGAGAATAATAATATAATGTGTGTTTTTTAAATATTAGTGGTTCCGTGTCAAATTGAATGATTTCCAAAGCACTTTAATTTTTTTCTTTTATATTTTGTGCTTTGATTGTGCTGCAGCGAGGTGTACACGCAACGAAACGCTCAAAATTTGACGTATTTGACTCTTAAAGATCGATTTACAAATGGGTTAAAACTAAAGATAGCGTGCTTCTTGGCTTTTTTCCCCCTCTTAAATTCATTTTTGCAGTTTCTGTCGGCACAACTGCGGCTCATTGAGATTAATGTCACTTGGAAAAGGTTTTACAAATATTTGTCACGTTTTAAAAATATGTTCTCAAAATGAAGTAATAATCTCGTAAAGAAAAAACAAGCAGTAAGTTCCAACGCATTCGCGTCGGAAAGCGGCTCTGGCGACGGTAGTTGTAGTCAAGAATGAGGGCCTAGACACATTTTGTCATTGATGTACAATCCGACAACTGTCGATTCATGTTTTGTAACTTAGCAGATTTACAAAGCCGGTGTATAAATGTGTATTGTCCCTTGATATGCAGAATGCATGGCACTATCACTTGTTGTATACTTTTAATTTTGAAGGCTCTTTGGAGGCCGCAATTGCTCCATTTAAAAATCAAAACAATATCGAATTGCGATATATTACACGGATAAGATAGGGCAATGTCCTGTCGTAAGCGGCGACATAGAGTCGATGTCATTTCACTGTGCAACAAAAAAAAATGACAAAAATGTCTCTCGGACGAGATAAGGTGATCCTTATGTATTTTGAGGCGCTGAATCCGAATATGACCTCCGTTTTTACCCATCACCCTCCAGTTTTCCGGAAAAGTCGATTTTACCCGGAAAAATGGCCATTTTTGGGCATTTTTGGTGTTTTTGCGACTGTTACCCCCTGCAGAATGTAGGTAAAATTTTTCTCCGGTACGAGAAACGATTAACCCGATGTATTTTGAGCCGCTGAGTCCGAAAATGACCTCCGTTTTTTCCCATCACCCTCCAGTTTTCCGGAAAAGCGACTTTTCCCCCGGAAAATGAGCAAATTTGAAGTATATTTGTCATGCATGCAATTTATTAGTA